GTGACATGGCTACCACTCACCTTTTCACCATTGTCATTTTCATTCTGCCGCTGATTGAATCATGGTGGTCTGCTCTCTCTTGGGTGCTGTTTTCCCTTGATTACCATGGTGTGCACTAATACCTATTGATGTACATAGTGTATACAGTGTACATACGTCTGTTGTACCTGGTGAAGGATAATACAATTCAAAGTTTTTCTGCTGTGTTTATTTTGCTCCCTTTACACCCAGGATAACAGGCCTTTGAGTACCTGGGTTGTAATAGGGGCCTTAACCATCCTCAGGAATACTGGCAAAAATCAAGTAGTATTTCTGTTACTCTGAGCTCAATTTCAAGATCATCTCTGTTTCAGTAGTATGTCTTCCATTCTATCAAATGATACCAAGAAACATCCAGTAAAACCAAAATCATCAGAGAAAACACCTCCAAGTCATAATTTTAAACCATACACATGGTCAGAGTTTTGTTTTCCCATCATGCACCACATGGGGCAGGATTTTTTTATACTGTGCAAACTTACTGCACACACCTAGTCACAGAATGGGCCGTGGGGGCGTTGACCCCCGGAACTCTCTCCAGGTAAATTCCAGGTAAACACCCATTTTCTCATATCTAAGCAAAAATTTACTTCTTACAGCTTACCTGAGTAAATTGAGCTCATGATGTTGAACTTCATGAGGGACCTGTCCTCAATGACATAGCTCTATGTGACAGCCACTGAAGGGGTTAACAATATCACACTATTCTGTGATCAAAGTACACTGTCCATTGTTTCCAAATTAAATGATCTTTCAAATGTTATCCCATATTTCCAAGGTGTGAATAATATAACATTTATGAAGGGATTTAGGGAAACCATTTAATCAAGCTTGATTCCTAGAGGCGAGAAGTACAGTGTCTGCACTCTGAAGGAGGGGCAGCTACACAAAACTTATCACAGCATTATGCCGCCCCTCCCCCACGCAGGTACCAAAACACACATGCCATGAAAGATTGTAATATATATATTTGCACACTTACTGAGGTTTTAATACTTGGTGCTGCGTCCTTTACGCTTAATCACGTCCCTCAGCCATGTTGGAAGACACTCACAAATTCTTGAGGGTCTGGGTAAATATATTATTTAATGCCTCATGTAGAGCAGCCTCCAGCCGTGGGATGCGGGATGGAACAGATATCCTTGCCCAGTAAACTTTGTTTCACTATTGACCAGAGGTTCTCAATAGGGTTTAGGTCTGGGGAATTGCCAGGCCAGTCATTAAAGAACCTTACTTCACAGTCCTTAAGCCACTGAATTACACATTTGGCAGTATGACATGGTGCACTGTCCTGCATAAAAACCATAGCCACACATTGTCAAATGCCTCAGGTAATCTGTCACACAATAACTCCAGGTAATTATACTGGTTCATATACAAGTGGACCCCCGACTTACGATGGCCTCAACCTACGATAAAACCGACTTACAATGCTTGCCAGCGTAAAAATTTGACCCCGACCTACATTGAAAAACTAGACTTACATTATTCATCCCGTATGTGTCCACGCATCCATTTGGCCTGAGCGCGCCTCAGCTGGCCTGCCTTCAGTTAGTGTGCCAACATTTGCAAGCCAGTGCGGTCACTTCCACGCATACATTCGGAACATTTTGAATTATTACAGTGCTTTTAGTGTTTGTAACTGCTAAATAAGCCACCATGGGCCCAAAGAAAGCTTCTAGTGCCAACCCTATGGTAAAAAGGGTGAAAATTACAATTGAAATGAGGGAGATAATTAATAAGTTTGAAAGTGGAGTGCGTGCCTCTGAGCTGGCCAGGTTGTACAACAAACCCCAGTCAACCATCGCTACTATCCTCACCAACAAAAAGGCAATCAAGGAAGCTGTTGTTGCGAAAGGTGCAAGCATCTTTACAAAACACAGATCACAAGTACACAAAGATGTTGAGAGACTGTTATTGGTGTGGATAAATGAAAAACAGATATCAGGAGATAGCATCTCTCTAGTGATCATATGTGAAAAGGCAAGGCAGTTGCATGACAATTTAATTAAGAAAAATACCTGCAACTAGTGATGTGAGTGAATTTAAGGCCATCAAAGGTTGGTTTGAGAGATTTAAGAATCACAGTGGCATACACAGTGTGATAAGGCATGGTTAGGCTGCCAGTTTGCACCAAAAAACGGCTGAAAAATATGCGCAGGAATTCAAGGGGTACATAGAGGCTGAAGGATTGAAACCCCAACAAGTGTTTAATTGTGACAAAACAGGCCTGTTTTGGAAGAAAATGCCAAACAGGACCTACATTACACAGGAGGAAAAAGCACTCCCAGGACACAAACCTATGAAGGACAGGGTTACATTAATGTTGTGTAGTAATGTTAGTGGGGATTGCAGAGTGAAGCCTCTACTCGTGTATCACTCTGAAACTCCCAGTGTGTTCAGGAAAAACAATGTCGTCAAGGCTAATTTGTGTATGATGTGGAAGACAAGCAGTAAGGCACGAGTCACTAGGGACATTTTCTATGACTGGTTTTACCATGTGTTTGGCCCCACTGAAAAATTACCTCCCAGAAAATAAATTGGACCTTAAGTGCCTCCTGGTATTAGACAATGCTCCTGGTCATACTTCAGACTTGCCGGAGCGAATTTCAGGGGAGTTGAGCTTTATAAAAGTGAAGTTTTTGCCTCCTACTACCACTCCTCTCCTCCAACCCATGGACCAGCAGGTCATTGCAGATTTCAAAAAACTGTACACCAAAGGAATGTTTCAAAAGTGCTTTGAAGTGACCTCATACACTCGATTGACCCTAAGAGAGTTTTGGAAAGATTACTTTAGTATCCTCAGTTGCATAAACCTTATAGGTAAGGTGGACTAAGAGGACCTTGAACTCTGCTTGGAGGAAATTGTGGCCACAATGTGTAGAAGAGAGGGATTTTGAAGGGTTTGGGACTAACCCTGAAGAGCCTATGCCAGTTGTGGAATCTATTGTGACATTGGGGAAGTCCTTGGGGTTGGAGGTTAGTGGTGAGGATGTGGAAGAGTTGGTGGAGGACGACAATGAAGAACTAACCACTGATGAGCTGCAAGAGCATCTGCAACAGCTAGAGGCCACAACTGAGGACACTGCTTCAGAGGAGGGGAGAGAGAAATCGAGGAAGTTGCCTTCTTCAATGATTAAGGAAATGTGTGCAAAGTGGGTTGAACTGCAAACCTTCATGGAAGAAAATCACCCTGACACAGCTACTGCAAGCCGTGCTGGTGACTTTTACAATGACAATGTTGTGAACCACTTTAGAAAAATCTCAAAGGAATGTGAGGTACAGAGCTCTATGGACAGATTTTTGGTGTGACAGAGGTCCAGTGACTTAAGTTGTTCCCAGTTCCCAGAAGGAAAGTAACCCCAGAAAAGAACTTGCTGCCTAAAGTCCTTATGGAAGGGGATTCCCCTTCCAAAAAATAATACACCTCCATCATCTCCCCTCCTCCCATCCCATTACTCATCACCACATCTTCAATAAAGGTAAGTGTCATTTATTCTTCATTACCCAATATATATTGTGTATGTATCCTTCTGTTTGTGTGTAGGAAAATGTATATTTCATGTGGTAAAAATATTTGTTTTTCATACTTTTGGGTGCCTTGAACGGATTAATTTGATTTCCATTATTTCTTATGGGGAAAATTAATTCGACTTAGGATAATTTCATCTTACAATGTGCTCTCTGGAACGGATTAATATCGTAAGTCGGGGGTCCACTGTATTGGTTTTTGGGAAGCACAATGAGTTCACCAACACCCTGAGCACTGAAACCCCCCCTAAACCATGAGCAAGTCTGGGTATTTGGTGGTCCCACAGGTGTAGCGTAGGTCTAGTGGGTCACTACCTCTGGGCCGGTACACATCCCCCACGGTTACAGGTGAAGGTTGTTTCATCACTCCAAAGTACTTCAGACCACTGCTGAGGATTCCAATGAAGATATTTCTTTGCATAATCCAGCCTATGTTTCTTCTGTGGGTTGGAGAGGATCGGTTTCTTAACCTGGTGGTGACTACTGTAGCCCAGTTCTGACACACATCTGCTAACAGTTCTTACAGATACCTGAGAGAAGATGTGGGTTCTTTTCTTTCAATTCTCTAGCAGTTATCTTAGGTGTACTCTCTAACTGCTTCTTTAACACAGTTAAGGTATGAACAGATGTCTTCTTCGAGGGGCCAGGCTGCACCCAGTTCCTCACCGAACGCTCACACACACCAACATTCTCCACTATTTCTTTTGTCTGGTGCCCAGCTTTGTGAAGCCCTATGATTTGAGCTATAGTTTCATGTGTTAAAGATTTCCTTTTACCCATAATCAAACACATATAGCCCCAAAACCAAAGGGAACACCGGACAAAAGATGCAGTGGACAAGATGCAAAAGTGCAACACTTCCTCTCACCACAGGAGCCACATGAGCACTGAGGAGCCACTGTGGAGTGTGGCAGAAGGCTGTGACATCATGCTAACGGCTGCTACACAGTATGGTACCCCTGTATGGTAGGCCTTCGATTTTTGTCACAGCATATTGCAGGGACACTCACCCAGCATAATGCCGTGACAAGCACTGCATATGCAGTTTGGAGGGGCATCTAAACTATAGTATCAGCATGCCTCTAGCAAGACAGTGATAGTGTGAGTGATGCTGAAAGCATTTGTTCTTTTCCAGGTAACCCTGCTTTGATGGGAAATGGCCATTTTTTTTTTTTTTTAATTTCCAAAATCCATTAAATCAAAGTCTGTTAAACTGACTGTTTATTGAAAAACACTATGCAAAGTAAACCTTTATTCATAGATGATATCTGACTCTCAGCAGAGCTTTATCACATTGAACTTGATACTACTGTAAATCTCTTTAAAGAAAACTATTGTGTGGAATTACAAATTTGTTCTGCTCATAGCATCTTTCTACCATAAACAGAGTTCTTTTCTGTATAACTAGTCTGCTTAAACAAGCGACATACCTCAATGACATGGTAGTAGTGATGATTTAGTTTTCTCCAATGAATTTTGTAACCAATAATGGTGCCTCTAGCCTGTTCTGGTGAAAGTTTACCCCAGGTGACTCGAAGCACTGTTGGTGATATGGGAATCAGACGCACACTTGGCTCAACCAGAGGAACTGTAAAGTCGTAATAATATCAGTTTAGTAATAAAGGTAGAATTACAAACATTTTATTGTGGCAATGTTTCACTCTCCAGGAGCCTTGTCAAGCCACTGGTAATGGCTTGACAAAGCTCCTGGAGAGTGGAACGTTGCCAAAATATAATGTCACATTAGTTACATATGTGTCCATTTACCTACAATATCAGTGTAAAAAGAATAAAAGGTCACAGTACCACAGCTGGAACAATCTGACAAATACCCACACTTAAGAGACAAATCTTATGACAATGTTTTGGCCCATCCTGGACCCTTTATGAGAATGTTTTGGTTCATCCTGGACCATTTATGACTGTTTTGGTCCATCCTAGACCATTATTAAGTCACAGATCAAGATGTCATCACAAGGCTCCTCTTGCTTAGCAATATTTTATGAATGGATTTATGAAGGATGAGGTTAATCATAGAATTGATGAAGGAAAAAAGGCGAGTGGTGCATTGAGGTAGTATATGTGGAGGCAAAAAATGTTATCTATGGAGGCAAAGAAGGGAATGTATGAAAGTATAGTAGTACCAACACTCTTATATGGGTGTGAAGCTTGGGTTGTAAATGCTGCAGCGAGGAGGCAGTTGAAGGCAGTGGAGATGTCCTGTCTAAGGGCAATGTGTGGTGTAAATATTATGCAGAAAATTCGGTGTGTGGAAATTAGGAGGTGTGGAGTTAATAAAAGTATTAGTCAGAGGGCTGAAGAGGGTTTGTTGAGGTGGTTTGGTCATTTAGAGAGAATGGATCAAAGTAGAATAACATGGAGAGCATATAAATCTGTAGGGGAAGGAAGGCGGGGTAGGGGTCATCCTCGAAAAGGTTGGAGGGAGGGGGTAAAGGTGTTGTGGGTGAGGGGTTTGGACTTCCAGCAAGCGTGCGTGAGCGTGTTAGATAGGAGTGAATGGAGACAAATGGTATTTGGGACCTGACGAGCTGTTGGAGTGTGAGCAGGGTAATATTTAGTGAAGGGATTCAGGGAAACCGGTTATTTTATATAACTGGACTCGAATCCTGGAAATGGGAAGTACAATGCCTGCACTCTAAAGGAGGGGTTTGGGATATTGGCAATTTGGAGGGATATACTGTGTATTTTTTGTACGTATATACTTCTAAACTGTTGTATTCTGGGCACCTCTGCAAAAACAGTGATTATGTGTTAGTGAGGTGAAAGTGTTGAATGATGATGAAAGTATTTTCTTTTTGGGAATTTTCTTTCTTTTTGGGTCACCCTGCCTCGGTGGGAGATGACCGACTTGTTGAAAAAAAAAAAAATAACCTACATTTTGTACACTGCAGAAAAGAAATAAAACTGTATTGTATTACTTCATGCATTCCACAAGCACTTAATGACTCTCATGAGTTTTACTGTAGTGTATAATAATAATAATAATAATAATAATAATAATAATAATAATAATAATAATAATAATAATAATAATAATAATAATAATAGTAATAATAATAATATTATTATTATTTAACACTTTTCATCTTGTGACTAATAAAACTGTTTCATGGTTTTAATTAAAATATTATTATTTTTGATTTATGCTTCACTAAGTGAATGCTGAGGTAGCAGTGTAGGCTTATAGGCTGTTGGCAGCTGTAACAAGGCTGGCCACAAGCAAGGCTTCAAGAATAGGAGAGCTGTCGAAAGTGGTCACCGGTATGTACCAATTTTCATATTCATGTTTACTTCTGAAGCATTACGACAGTGTCTGGGGAAACTCCACCTTTCAAGAACACTGCCTTCAAGATGGTGAAGGTTAATGGGGTTTAAGGCCTACAAACTACACAAGAGTCATTAAGGCTTCATGCTACCTGTTCACCACCAGTCCTACTTTAAACACTAAAATGGTGAAGTAAATGCTCCATGTATATACAATGAGATATATACAATTCTCAGTTATATATATCCTCTTGATGCTGGTGAAAGACTCCTGATCCAAAGAACTGATGCTAACCATCCCATTCCTCAGTTATTACTTGACTGCCTCCCATTCCCCAGACACTATGTCTCTTATGGGTCAGCTCTTCCCCATGAATATAATCATAAGTTTAGTGCTTCCTCATATCTATAATCATGAGTTCAGCACTTCCCCATACATATAACATATCACCTTGTTGTTCTCATTTCATTCCACTCTCTTCACATTCATCCTGGTTCTGCTGACACTTTCCTATCTAAAACCACTAAAAATTATTATATTTTATTAACACATCGGCCATTTCCCACCAAGGTAGGGTGGCCTGAAAAAGAAAAACTTTCACTATCATTCATTCCATCACTGTCTTGCCAGAGGCATGCTTACACTACAGTTATAAAACTCAACATTAACACCTATCCTTCAGAGTGCAACCAGTGTGCTTCCCATCTCCAGGACTCAAGTCTGGCCTGCCAGTTTCCATGAATTCTTCATATTACCCTGCTTACACCCCAACAGCACGTTAAGTCCCAAAAACTATTTGTCTCCATTTGCTTCTATCTAACATGCTCATGCATGCTTGCTGGAAGTCAAAGCCCCTCACACACAAAACCTCCTTTACCTCCTCCCTCCAACCTTTCCTAGGCCGACTGCTACCCTGCCTTCCCTCCACTACAGATTTATACACTTCTCGAAGTCATTCTACTTTGTTCCATCCTCTCTACATGTCCAAACCACCTCAACAACCCCTCCTCAGCCCTCTGGATAATAGCTTTGGTAATCCCGCACCTCTTCCTAATTTCCAAATTATGAATTCTGTTTTATATTCACACCCCACATTGCCCTCAGACACAACATCTCCACTGCCTCCAGCCTTCTCCTTGCTGCAACATTCACCCCCATGCTTCACACCCATATACGAGCATTGGTATAACTATACTCTCATACGTTTTCCTCTTTGCTTTCTCGGACAAAGTTCCTAGTCTCCACAGACTCCTAAGTGCACCACTCATCTTTTCCCCCTCGTCAATTCTATGATTCACCTCATCTTTCATAGACCTATCTGCTGACACATCCACTCTTAAATATCTGAATGCATTCACCTCCTCCATACTCTCTCCCTCCAACCTGATATCCAATCTTTCATAACCTAATTTTTTTATCCTCATCACCCTACTCTTTTCCTATATTCACTTTCAATTTTCTTCTTTTACATACCCTACCAAACTCATCCACCAACCTCTTTTTGGTGTAAAGTTTGTATGCCATTAATACTCATCCTCCTCAGCAGTGCTGAACACTCACTCACCATCCTCAGCAGTGACAAACATTAATAACACTCACCATCCTCAGCAGTGTTGAAGACGAGACTTTCTGACTGGTCTGAGGCAAAGTTGCTGTATGCTCTGACAAAGACAATATACTTGGTGTTGGTCTTCAAGTTCTCCAAGAGATGAGAAGTGTTCTGTGAGACTGCCTGCAGCCCAACTCCATTACTCTCTGAAATAACGACAACTCTACTAAGCCATTTTCTCTGAAAATATAAAAATGTGTGTAGTTACCTTCCCTTCGAAAAAAATTTAAAATACTACTTTATTATTAACATAATGTATGCTATTACTAACACAACGTGTGTTATTGTTGACGTGTGTTATTGATGACAACGTGTGTTGTTATAGACATGTGTTATTATTGACAAAATGCATGTTGTTATTGACATGTGTTATTACTGAAACACCATGTTATTATTATTGACACAACACATTATTATTGACAACACGTTATTAATGACAACACATGTTATTATTGACACAACATGTGTTGTTATTGACCAGTGCTATTTTTGGTATGTGAATGCCATGATGGAAAGGATAGACTCATAAGTGTCCCTGTTCACAGATGACGTGAAGTTAATGAGGAGAATTAAATCAGATGAGGATCAGGCAGGTCTACAAAAAGAGACCTGGACAGACTGGACACGTGGTCCAGCAACTGGCTTCTCGAATTTAACCCCACGAGATGCAAAGTCACAAAGATCGGGGAAGGGCAAAGAAGACGGCAGACAGAGTATAGGCTAGGCGGCCAAAGACTGCAAACCTCACTCTAGGAGAAAGATCTTGGGATGACCATAACACCGAGCACATCTCCGGAGACACATATCAACCAGGTAACTGCTGCAGCATATGGGCACCTGGCAAACCTGAGAATAGTATTCCGATACCTTAGTAAGGCATCGTTCAAGACACTGTATACTGTGTACGTCAGGCCAACATTTACCTATAGTGTGTGTTTATGAAACAATGCATTTTTTAACACTCCAGCAATCTCCCACCAATTAAGGGTGACCCAGCAAAGAAGAAAACACTTTCACTCGTTCAATCACTGTCTAGCCATAAGGTAGTGCAGTGATTTTACAGTCTAGATGACCCTCCAAACATCATCATCTCAACCTCTAGGGCTCAAGTCTAGCTAAGAGGTTTCTCCAAATCCCTCCATAAACATTAACTTGCTCCAACTCACTTGCCTTCACTCACTCCTATCCAACATGCTCACACAAGCATGTCGGAAACCCAAGCCCCTAACACTTAAAACTTATTTTACCCCTCTCCCCCCCAACTTTTCCTAGGACAACCCCTACCCTCCTCTCCACCCCAGATTTATATGTCATCCTAGTCACCCTATTCTTCTACACCCTCTCTAAATATCCATAAAAACCCTGAACTGCCTTCAGTAACCTACCACCTGTTCTATACATCTGCAACATCTGTCATACTGCTTCCCTATCCACTCTATCACATGCCTTTTCTAAATCCATTAATGCAGCAAAAGCTTCCTTACCTTTACCTAAATACCGCTCACTTAAAGGCTTCAATTTAAACACTTGGTCTACACATTCTCTACCAAAACCTCCTTGTTCATATGCAATCCTACTTTCCTTCTTACCCTTAACTCTTTCAATAATATTTCTACTATACACTTTACCTGGTAGATGCAACAGGCTTCTTTCCCTATAATTTTTACAATCTCTTTTAACTCCTTTTCCTTTATACAAAGGAACTATGCATGCTCAACTAATCCCTAGGTACCTTCCCTCCTTTTGTGCATACTTATACATTAACCAAATGCACAAACAACTCCAAAACTATATCCCCCCCTGCTTTTAATATTTCTCTCTTAATTCCATCTATCTCAGTTACTTTACCCCCTTTCATTCTACCCACTGCCTCACACACCTCCATTCTACTCAGCTTACTGATCTCACTCCAAAACTTTTTTTTATTCTCAGCAAAACTTGTTGATAAAACCTTTCCCATTCTCTTATTATCTCTTCTTTTGCACTCCTTCACCATACACTCCTCTCCACACACTCCTCCTCCTCCTGTATATTACACCTCTACATTATAGAAATCTCTCATCTTTCTTCTTCTTCTTTCAACAAACTGGCCATATCCCACCAAGGCAGGATGGCCCAAAAAGAAAACTACAAGTTTCTCTTTTTAACTTTAGTAATATATACAGGAGAAGGGGTTACTAGCCCCTTGCTCCCGGCATTTTAGTTGCCTCTTACAACACGCATGGCTTACGGAGGAAGAATTCTGTACCACTTCCCCATGGAAAAGAAATCTCTCATATGTGATTAAAACATTTCTGTTTTATGCTCGCATGACAATGTGAGCATAAAACAATGTGAGATATTAACAACCTTTAACCCTTTCACTGTCTCTTATGCAATTCTACATTACTGATAGCAGCATCACTCACATAGGTCTATGCATTAAGTACAACTCCCTCAAATATCCTGTGAGCAGTAAATTTTGAACTAGACCTGAGAAAATGGTTCTGTGAAGTGAGTGTACAAAGTATAGAAAAAGTCCTGCCCCATGCAGATCATGATGGGAAAAGCAAACATTTGATCTTGTGTTTGGTTTAAAAAAGTAACTTTGAGGTGCTTTCAGGGATGGCTTTTATGGTTCTATTGCCCTCATCAGTTTATAGAATGGAAGACATACTACTGAAATAAGAGATAATTTTGGTCAGTTTCTTGAAATAGAGCTCAAAGTAGTGGAAATAATTGATGATGGAAGATTTTCCAAAGGAAAGATAGCCCCCCCTCCCCAGTTTCTACCAGGTCTGCTTCAATTACTGGGATGCCCTAAACTATGACCAATCATTGCTGATTATATTTTATTACTTGAGAAATAAGGTAAAACTTTGATTTTTGTGATGGATTCAAAATGGAGGCAAGTGTAACATAGGTTAGGCCTGAGGATATGATTAATGAATGGATGAAAAGTTGTTGTAGTTGCTAGAATGCCTACACTGTTTATTTTGGATTCCATTTTTCAATTGGAATGTGTTGAATTTTGTGTAAAACTTCATAGGGTAATTCCAACAGTTGAATGGGTAGTTTCTTGTGCACAATTGGTAGAATTTGGTTGAGCTGAGCAATGAAATTGGCTTACAGTAAGACTCAAAGTGGACGAAATCACCAATGCTGTGCCCAGGGTGCCAACTTTGCTCCTGCGTAATTTCACAAACTTTGTATCATATTTTGCATTTTTTAGTGCCATTTCCTCCAAAAATGATTTTCTACTATTTCAGAGGAATTTTTTTTTTTTAAATCCTGACACTGTCAGCACTTTTAATTTCAGGGGTCCCAAAAGTGAAAGGGGTAAAACTGATTCATCCTCCATCTGTTAATCACAGCCCAGACTGACTTGCCACGATACTGACGACAGCTCTCTAAATTGTACAAATCTACCTATGACCAGCTTTGAGGGTTCTTCTTTCACTGCAGTGTAGCCTGAGGCCATGCTTTCTTGTTGACTGTTTATTAAACCAGACTTACTGTTGGTGGCCTGATGGCCCACATAGCTATCACAGCCTGCTTGATCTTTCACTTGGCAGAGATAGTAAGTGGTCCAGTTTTTGAATGCATGTGTTGATAGGATGACAGGGAAAGGAATACTAATGCTAAATGCTCTAATTAAATAAAAGTTCTTAAATACTCATGAGAATTTCTCACCAGATTCAAAATAGTGAATTGAGTAAGCTTTGATCTTGTCATTGGAAGGGTAGACTGCATCCCAAGTGAGAAGGACCGAGGTAGAGGAGAGAACCACATAATGAAGGTTCTGAGGTGGATCCGGCTTGTTCTCCGACGAGTTTATAACCATGGGGGCCCAACTGGAGCTGTCAAAATAAAAAGAATACATAAACAACCCCAAAGATACAAGAACATAAGAACACAAGAAACGAGGAGACTACAGTAGGCCTGCTGTCCACAAAAAGCAGATCCAACTCACACCCACCCATGAATACTCTTGTACTTGTCAAGTCTATTCATAGAGCTACCCAAGATTTTTGCTTCAATGACATTACTCAAGAATTTGTTCCACTTACCCACAACTATTACCAAACCAGTATTTTTCTATATCTTTTCTAAATCTAAACTGCTGTAAGTCCTGTCTTAGATATTTTTAGAACGTTATTTATATCCTCTATTTATTCCTGTCTTTCATTTAGGCACCTCGATCATTTTTTTTTTTTTTTCAACAAGTCGGCCATCTCCCACCGAGGCAGGGTGACCCAAAAAAGAAAGAAAATCCCCAAAAAGAAAATACTTTCATCATCATTCAACACTTTCACCACACTCACACATTATCACTGCTTTTGCAGAGGTGCTCAGAATACAACAGTTTAGAAGCATATACGTATAAAGATACACAACATATCCCTCCAAACTGCCAATATCCCAAACCCCTCCTTTAAAGTGCAGGCATTGTACTTCCCATTTCCAGGACTCAAGTCCGACTATAATGAAAATAACCGGTTTCCCTGAAACCCTTCACTAAATATTACCCTGCTCACACTCCAACAGATCGTCCCGGTCCCAAGTACCATTCATCTTTCCCTCACTCCTATCTAACACGCTCATGCACGCTTGCTGGAAGTCCAAGCCCCTTGCCCACAAAACCTCCTTTACCCCCTCTCTCCAACCCTTTCGAGGACGAAACCCCCCCCCCGCCTTCCTTCCCCCATAGATTTATATGCTTTCCATGTCATTCTACTTTGATCCATTCTCCTCCAAATGACCAAACCACCTCAACAACCCCTCTTCTGCCCTCCCTGACCCAATACTTTTATTAAAATCCACACACCTTTTTCCTAATTTCCACACTCCCAATTTTCTGCATAATATTTACACCACACATTGCCCTTAAACAGGACATCTCCACTGCCTCCAACCGTCTCCCTCGCTGCTGCATTTACCACCCAAGCTTCACACCCATATAAGAGTGTTGGTACTACTATACTTTCATACATTCCCTTCTTTGCCTCCATAGAAACGTTTTTTGACTCCACATATACCTCAATGCACCCTCACCTTTTTTCCCTCAAACAATTCTATGATTAACCTCATCCTTCATAAATCCATCCGCCGACACGTCAACTCCCAAGTATCTGAAACATTCGCTTCTTCCATACTCCTCCTCCCCAATTTGATATCCAATTTTTCTTTATCTAAATCATTTGACACCCTCATCACCTTACTCTTTCTAAAGTTCACTTTCAACTTTCTACCTTTACACACATTCCCAAACTCATCCACTAACCTCGCAAATTTTTCTTAAGAATCTCCCATAAGCACAGTATCATCAGCAAAAAGTAATTGTGTCAATTCCCATTTTGAATTTGATTCCCCAAAATTTAATCCCACCCCTCTCCCGAACACCCTAGCATTTACTTCCTTTACAACCCCATCTATAAATATATTAAACAACCATGGTGACATTACACATCCCTGTCTAAGACCTACTTTTACCAGGAAGTAGTCTCCCTCTCTTCTACACACCCTAACCTGCACCTCACTATCCTCATAAAAACTCTTTACAGCATTTAATAACTTACCATATTCCCCCTAATTCAACACCTTTCTAGAGAAAGCAGATTCAGTGCCCTCAGTCTATCTTCATAGGAAAGATTTCTGATACATGAGATTAACTTTACCATCATTATCTGCTTGTTTTCCAGTACAATTATGTCCATTCTGTAATATGGTGACCAGAAATGTGCAGCATAATCTAAATACGTAAGGTCTTACCAAGGATATATAGAGTGAAGCATAATCTGAGGACTCCTGTTATTTATAATTCTTGATATGAAGCCAAGAACTCTATTGGCTTTATTGCGAACAATTATGCACTTCTGTCTTGGCTGTAGATTACTGCTAACCAGAGTTCCTAAATCTCTTTCACATTTTGAATGATTGAGATCTACATTATTCAGTTCATAAGGGCCATGGATATTCTCTTCACCCATGCTTAGAACCTTACATTTGTCTACATTAAACTGCATCTTCCACTTCACTGATTACTGCATCAACCTATCCAGATCTTCCTCCTGTACTCTAGTGTCCTAGTCAGAATTATTCTGATGGCCTATTTTAGTGTGATCAACAAACTTGCTTATGTCACTATGTATTGGTTCATCCATGTTGCTTATGTAAATTGTGAACAACAAAGGGACCAACACTGACCCCTGTGGAACACTGCCTGTGACACATCCCCACTCCAATTTCTCTCCATTTATGCAAACTCTCTGTTGCCTATCAGTCACCCACACCTCTAAGCAGGAAATAATTCCCCTTCTATTCTATGTGCCACTACTTTCTTCAACAATCTCTGGTATGGAATTTTGCCAAAGGCCTTACTGAAAACCATATACACAATATCATATTCATTATCATGATCTACCAATTAGTAAACTTGTAAGGCAAGAATGCCCATCTGTAAAAATCTGCTGAGATTCATTGGTCAAGGTCACTTCAAATAGCCTCAATAATTACCGATTCCATCAATTTTCTCATAATGGAGGCGAGGCTAACTGGTCTATAATTTGAAGTTAATGACCTATCTCCTGCTTTGTAGATAGGTATCACATTTGCTATTTTCCACTCATCTGGCACTATGCCAGTTTGTAGTGATATACTGAAAAGATTAGCCAATAGTTTGTTAAGGTCCTCCTTACATTCTTTTATAACCCTTGAAAACAGTTCATTAAGGCCCAGGGATTTGCTTGGTTTCATCTATATATTTGAGAACCATGTCACTAGTGACTGATTGTATATAACTTGTTTTCATACTGACCTATATAATTTTTGATCTTGTACATTTTCAGACAAAAAAAAAAAAAATAAAACACAAGGAGTCAAAATAAAAAAAAAAATTGGTAAAAATGACCTCATAATGTGTGCCTATCTAACTCTACTCACATGGCTACATAGAAAATTATTAGATTCATAGGCAAGCAATAAATCAATAATGGTCATCAATCACCTGGGAAATGGGAGGTAATCAGGCTTGATCCAAGGAAGGAGAGGGGGTAACTCTCTTTTCAATTTTACTTTTAGATTGTAAGAATGATTTCCATTCAATAACTGGAGAATGCTTCTTCATATCAGGTTCAAACCTGTAGTACTAATGCACTTTATGAAAAAGATGATACCCTATAATTTTATACTATGTAGGTGTAAATTTACCAATATATTAACATAGTTAAGCTTGCATGCTGGCACCAGATTAAAACATATTACTGTAGCTGCCATTTCCAGGTGTGGTATGACCACTATGGTTACAGTGCTTCCCCAAGAATACAATAAAAATAATTATGTAGAAAATTACTTACGCATATCCTGCTTCGTTGATAACAAGACACTGGTACATTCCTGCGTCAGATGTGATCGAGTTGGTGAATATAAACTGGTTTGAGGGTGTTATAATAGCACGTCCCTTAATGTTGACAGACTGCCCATTTTTGTACCATATGATGCGGGGAGTGGGATGACCCGTTACTGAGCAGTTGAGGCGGGCAGTCTTTGCTAACAATGTATCTAAGTATTTTGGAGGATCAATAATTTCTGGTGAGACCAATACATCTAGTTCTATTCCTAAAAAAAACA